TCCCTACGCGACGCTCTTCCGATCTTACCCACATCAATTTTTCATATATTTTATATATATATGATATTTGTGAAATATATAAATATATGAAATACATGAAAAATTGATGTGGGTACTCAAATGAAAGGTCTTGATGAGTGTAACATCGGGATGAGCTTATATCTTTAAAAATATCAATAGTTCACGAGATATCTGTTAAATTGCACTGTACGTTATTAACAATTGACGTTTTTAAAGATATAAGCTCATCCTGAAATTACACTCATCAAGAGCTTTCATTTGAGTACCCACATGCATTTTGATATATTTTTCATATATACATATATATAAATATATAAAATATATGAAAAATTGATGTGGGTACTCAAATGAAAGATCTTGATGAGTACAACATCGCGATGAGCTTATATCTTTAAAAATGTCAATAGTTCACGAGATACAAGGTCATTTTTTAATTATGTATCTAGAGATAGAGTATTTTCGAATGCAGCATAAATACTTCTCATCATAAATTGACTATTGGTGAGAATGATGCAACTTTAAAAATGTCAATTTTATAATTTTTTCATACTTATTTTTTGGATAAAACATTTTTTATTTAATTTTTTATGAAAAAATGTCTTTTAATAAATTTTTTTTTTATAGAAAACATTACTAATTAAAAAAAAATTCTAAAAATCATTTTTATGAGTTAAAAGTATTGTGAGCAGTGAAGCAAAACAATTACTCACTTTACTTACAACTATAAAATTCCAATTTAAAAATAACTGCTTATTAATTTTTTTTTGCATAAATTTATAAAAATTAAAAAAAATTTCTTTTAATTTACTTCAAGAGTAAAATTATCTGTTTTTAAAATATTAAAATTAAATGGTCAGCGAAAATATTAGCTGTCAGTTGATAATAAATAGCAAGAAATAAAAAATTTATTTATTAAAAATTTGTGAGATATTTTATTATAAAAATGATGAAAAATAAAAAAAAAATTCAAATTAATTTCATTTATAAACACAAAGTGTCAAATGTAACCTATATTAATTAAAAAATGAAGACTTGTCAAAAAAAAATTATCAGTAAGCAATTATTTGCCAGCAAATTATCGGAAAAAAAATGTATAATTAAAATAATGATGACTTATGATTATTTTATCAAATTATAAAATCTTTGAAATACCGAGACGTGAAGTGTCATTGATTAGTATAAAATTATGAGCAACAAATTGAAATTCTGTCAATGCAATAAAAAACTTAAATAACGTAATTAATATTTAAGAAAAAGTAAAAAGTAAATGTAAGAAATAAAAAACAAAAGGAATAGAATGAAAATAAAAATTACCTGGTTTTACCTTAAGAATAATGACAATTCGTATGGTTAATGTGTAACCTTGATAGCGTATTAAAAATAAATGGAACGTC